TCCTCAAAATGGACGCTCAGGTCCGCGTGGTTCTCACGTAGGGGCACGTGAAAGTTTTTTTGGCGGTAAAGCGTTTTCAGGAACGGGTCATGTTAGGGGCTGGAACTTCACAGAGATGTTCCTTGGGCGCGTCTAATCCAAAGATTTCAAATTCAGCCTTCACGCACCCCCAGGTCTCACGTACGCACACTTCAAAGTTTGAACTGGCGTCGTCCCAACTCCAGATTTAAGCTGATCACTAAGCTGCAGAAAGCTGCAGTTTTGCAGCTTTACTTGTCGCCTACTGTTGTGCCCGTGAAAGTAAGTTACTTGTCAGCTGTTCTGCATCTCATGTGCGAACACGTGAAAATTTCACACATGCGCTTTTGTAACTTCAGAATTGAACCAGCCAGTGGACCTGGACTTTCTGAGCATAACTGACGGTGGCGTTTGACCAGACACACGCTAAAACGACTTACACACCATTCTCATGTTTCACTTACGTTTCACGTGCACATACGTGAAATTTAACGTAACCCCGCAACCAGAGCAGCTGGAGTGCTGAAACTTTTTGAGCACTACCCAGGGCTGTGTTTGAGCAACTGTGAGCGATGAAAGCACTCACGTTGCCACTCACGTACGAACATGTGAAATTTGATGTAACTCTGCAACCGAAGCATCCAGAGCGCTGGAATTTTTGGGCATGGATTGGGCATGGAGTCATTGTAATAATTTCTAACAGTCGTGGTGGCCAGGCCCAATTCTCTTAGCTAGAAGCATCTGGCGGGAAGAACGTGCCACTGGTTCTTTTTGATTGGCCCTGTTCTCGTTATCCATAGAAAGAAACATTCCAAGAAATGTATAATGGATTCTTTAGAGAACACATAGTTGTAGTCCGCGTAAAAAGTGGCTGATGTCAACTTTTTCTAGATACAGGTATTGGCCGTGGTTGCCGTTTCTGCACAGCGCCGCTTCGAACAGATCAGGTCATCTTGTTTTTTTTTTTTTTTTTATTTTTCATCTGACGAGCACCAGGTTTAGTTTTATGTTTAGTTCACAAGCATTCAGTCATGCTGCAGCACATAAAATTAGAAGTATTCGTTTATATTTATTTGAAGAAGTATTCATTTATTTCAAGTATTCACTGTTAATTTGTATTTATTTATTTTTATTTAAATATCTATAGCCTCTTTCTTTTTCAGATCATCGATGGTTTATGCAGCCACGACGAATGTCATTATCTTGCAACAGCTGCTTGTCAGCGGCAGCTTCCATGTGGTCATTTTTGTGGCGGAATCCGGGATGAAGAAATGTGCTTACCATGTATGCACTGTAGGATGCCAGGTACTGACCAAGCCCTGCAAATGTACAATGGTCAGGCACATGTAGTTGAACTTCGAGTTGTGTTATGGGCAAGCAAAAAAAGCACATCATGTCAAAATCATGTCCTCATGCGCGCATATGAATCAATTAAAAGATTAAGAAATCCAGAGGGCTGAGATCAACAATCGACAGTAGCTGCGGCTATACAAACCGCTAAAACTGCTTTCACTTCTCTTTATCTTTCAATAAAGAAGAAGGAAGAGGAGATTTGTATGCTAAGGATATGTGATAAGAAGCCAGTTGACATGTGTCCGTCAAGTGTTCAAGGAATTATCCGGAGAATCTTTCTATTTTTGTGTTGGAACTTTTAGTCGTTTTGTTCATCACAGCGCCCCAGTATTTTGTATGCCTTTTTGCACTATTTGCTACAACGGAACAGAAACTATAAGACAAATGGTTACCGGTATATCTCAGAGAGAAAGGCACAGGCGATTCTGTGGCTGTGCCGCCTGTACCTTTCGATATGCACCTGCTACAGTTGGTCGTCGTCGAGAGATGAATTGATGAACATTTTCCT